GATGTTAGTAATAAAAATTGACGTGGCAGTATAAGTGGCAGAAATATGAAAATTAACGGTAACAAATAATATTACATAGGATTTTACTGTGGTTAATAGACTCTTCATTGAATTAATATTTGAAACCCATTCCAAAAACCCTAATATCATATCATTGTGCCTCATCTTTCAGAACAATCATCCTCATCATTGCTTGCAAGTCGCTGTTAACGAAGTTTGTCTAGCTGAAGCCTTGTGTACGAAGGTATAAGAATTCAAGTCACTGTGTACGAAGATTGGTCTTTTCGTTGAAAGTTGTGGTCCTCACCATTTCGTGTTCCAAACAGGTTTGTTGTCTTATATGTCCATTTATCTTTTACATTTTTTAGTGCCACACTTAGGGAAAAGGTAAGAAAATACAAGGGTGAGATAATGTCTAAGCCACTTAGGAGACTAGATAGAGAGGTAGAAAAGAGTGCAACTTGGTCTATAACATATGTAGTTAGATTAACATTTTAGGTAACACATGTATTGTTCACTGATAGTTTTGTTGTATACTTGGCAAAACACAACTGTTCATGTAACTATTGGGATTTTGTTGGAATCCTCTATAGCCATGTTGTTGCTACAATACATATGAAGGTTGATGATCCTATTAAGTGAGTGCATAGTGCATAGTCGTTATCATAGATCTACTTACATAAAATGTTATAATGAAGTTGTCAGTCCTATAAATGGGCCAAACAAATGGTCCAAGACCACAGATCCTACCATTTTGCGACCAATGTTCAAACATGGTCCATGTAGGCTAAAGAAATTAAGAAGAAGGGAATCTGATGAGGCAAACCATACTACGTGGCAAAGAACTAATACAAGCCACATATGCAAGAAATTCCTAGAATATGGTCATAATAGTAAAACATGCAAGAAGGGTAAACAACTTGCAATTATTCCATAGGGAAATGCAACAACTACTACTGAGCCAACTACACAAGCAAGTCAAGCTCCATCTGTCCAAAAGTAGCTAAGAACTTGGTTAGTTTAACTATTTTTATGTGGATATTGTTAACTATTTTTTATGTGAATACTGTTGACTGTTAATTGTTTGTATGTACATGCAATACATGAGGAAAAAAGGTAGTGTGAGCAAGGGTGGAGCAAAGAATCGAGCAACTAAAGTGTCAATGAAAAAGAGTCAGGCATATGCTAGCAATGTGCCTGAACTTGAGCCAGCTGCAAGCAATGTGCCTGAACCCGAGCCAGCTGCATCTCAGTTATTTGAACCTGACACTCAAGCTTCAGTTGACTAGAATATTCACTTGGAAAAGTATTCTCAGTTAGACCCTGACAAATTGGCATCATTGCTGAATGATGAAGACTTTAGAGAAGATGTTATACTAGATATTCAACCATTAAATATTGACACAAGTTTAGCAAAAAAACCTACTACTGCCAAGCCAACATCAAGTTGTGTGAGAATTTTCATTGGAGTGAGGCCTAAAATAAGTAAGTCTGTCAAAAAACTAAGTCCTGCTAAGACAACAACTTACAAACCAGCTATGAGTGATCCTATAAGTCATGTCATTGTCATTAGTGTGTTCATTTTTGTTTTATTCATGTAGACATTGTGTTATTATGACAGATCAAAAACATGACATCCAAAAAGGAAAAGTCAAACTGCAAGTTCCACTTGTGAAAATAATGAGTGATAGGCTTATGACACTAAAGACAAAGAACTTTGTGGGACCTGGAAAGAATCATGATGATCCACTTGTGATTCCTGAAAAACATGAACCAGAGGCAGCACTTGGTGTCACTACTAGGAATGAAGAATTTGAAGGAAATTCATAAGGGCCTTTCTCAATGATGCATAAGAAATTAAAGTTTTGTAGTTTATGTATTTTTGCATTTTGTGTACTATAAGTTGTGTACCTTGGAATTGTGTATCAATGGGGTGTACTTTTGAATTATGTATCTCTTTTAGTTGGATCTATTTTGGATTTATGTATCAGTGGTGTGTACTTTGGAATCATGTATCATGGTTTTTGTCTGCTTTGGAAATATGATCAATGTATGAATTTTACCCATCAATATAGGCATGTCTTTATATATACCAATGTATCTGTTTTGGGATTTTGTGTCTAGTGTTATTATAAGCCAATTTCATGTCAAATTTAGAAATTAACAAGTTAAAGCATACATTAAGCAAACATTTATGATGAATACTTCTATACATCATTTATAACAATTTCATAACAAATTTCTATACAATATTTCTAACTATCAGTGCAAACATTAAGCCAACATTTATCTTTTGACATTAACCAAACATTTACATTTGACTATTAAGCCAACATTTCATAGATAAACCAACATCTAACATTGAATATTATGCAAAATTTCTGCCTACCTTAATCCAATTTCTTTACCAAGACATTGTCAATACATAGAAAGTACACACTGAACAATACACAATTTGAAAACTTCAACAATTGTGTTTAAACTATGAACTACAATTGAACAGAAAATACAAAATAAACATAAATGAGATTACAACAAATAACATTTTCAATTTTTCAAAAAATTTTCCCGCATTCATTTTTTCTTCAAACTCATGTTCTTCTTCTTTGCATCTTCATACAGCTCTTTCAAATAACCCATAGCTTCATTCATGTTGCTCCCATATTCGTTTCCAAATTTTACTACCATACATTCATCCCCTATAAACAAATGACAAGTTTCATCACTCCCTCCAATATGGACATCTCCAAAAAAACTTACCTTTGTTGGGTCCCTTCTTGCACTAATAGGATATCATTCGACATCACCCCTCCAATATGGACATCTATAGAAAAGTTTACCTTTGTTGAATCCCTTCTTGTACTAATAGGATATCATTCGACCTTGACAATCACATAAATGTTCACCACGACTTTTTACCGATGAGGACGACATGAGAGGTACGTTTGTTGAGTTGGTCTTTAAAGATAACATTGTTACAGAGGTTGCATTTTTAGCTGGAAGAAACAAGCGGTTGCGTTTTCAACTCGAAGGAACGGGGAAGAAGAAGAGGAGACCATGACAAAATTAGAAAAACATTTTATAATTCAATTAAAACAAAATGAATAATAAACATTAAACCCACGTGACAACAGCAATATCTGACATAATAAAAAATCTACCTGTAAAAGTCATGTCAACTTCTGTTACTCACATCTAACGTCAATATTTTAAAAACTGGATCGGAGATTGAACCGATAAAGCTTCCGATTTAAGTTTTAATTGGTTCAACCGGTTAAACATATGATCGAACCGTTTATTAAATAAACTAATAATATGAAACTAATTTTTGATAGATATGTCACATATAATCATATATTAACAACTTAGAATCAATTACAACTTAATACAACAATATCGATAATACATATAATAACACAACATAGTTGTACACTTCATTTCAATCTTCATTTAAGAATAATTTGAACAAATTAAAGAATTACAATAAAATAAATTAAACTAATTCAAAAGTAAAATAATAAAGCATAACAATTAAAATAAAATTCAAATAATTGAGAATACTTAAATTAAAAGATATAATACAAAAAATAAACAATACAATACACTTAATTAAACAACAAAAATAAATTCGAATTGAACTCCGACAAATATATGATGGAACGTGGTTGAAAGAAAAACTATAACAGACAAAACTTAAAAATTTATATGTTTGTAAATTGTAATAAAAACATGGAATTATTTTTTGTGATTGAGAAATCTACGTTAAGTTTTGATATTTACATATAAATTTTTTTTTTAAATGGTCAATTTGATACTTTTTTTTTAATCGAACGGTGGTACAAAACCAGATCCTGTTCTATGGTTTGAATGGTTTTAGACGGTTCAATCCGATTTTTTCGATTCAACTCCGATTTTGATCAACTAGTAGTTTTAAAAGATTAACCTAACCGAATTCATCACCGATTCACGGCCCAACCGATTGAACCGGTCGATTCGGTCCAATTTTAAAAACATCAGAGATCAAAATTGCAGACAACAAAACTTTGGGAGACCATTCTTTAACAAATTTTTTTACAAAGACTAAAAGCAAAAATAACTAACTTATAGTAGGAATCTTAAACATATTTAACTCTTCATATTATATTAGTATATATTAATATTATAATAGACGAGTGGAGCAATGGTTTTGAGTTCTCCATCCTTGGCTATTCAAGTGATTTCAATGGTTCATTAAGTTGGTAATCAACTACAAGTAATTTCAATGGTTTATTAATGTGAGTTTGCAAACATAAACACCAAGTGTATCTCTCCCTTCAAACATTTAAGTCAAAGCATGATTGAGTTCTTTTGCAAGTGTTATGTTTTTTTAACTTTTTGACACTTTTAAGTTTGATCAGAAAACCTCTCATGTGAAGTTTATTAAAATAGTCAATAACCTACCTCAATTGAAGTCAATATTCAATAGAGGACCTACCACACGTGCTGCTTCTGCAACCACCAAGGTAGTTAGCATCATTAAATGAAACAGATATTCATCCATGAAAACGAAATTTTCAAAAGCTACAACATGAAAAGCTGAAGTTCTAAAAACTTCTTTTCATTCAACTGTGAAATGCAATGCAATGAATTTGCATTTGAACAATAATGATACTTCTAAGAACATGTTAGAATATTAAGTTATGAACCATCTAATAACAATCACTTAATATTATATCGCCTGCACCATAACACACAAGACACACCTTTACATTGGAAAATATTAATTAAAAAATAACTGGAGGAACAGGCCCGTTTAACTCCTGTACCAAGTGTAGAAGAGCTCCAAACTTATAAAACAGGGAATGGAAGAATCCCGGACAATCTGTGCCGAGTACGAATCATGCAAAGGCAAAGACCCTTTGATGCTATAGGAATGTAATGTGTGGACCAGCATTTCATTGGCCCGATAATCGTATAATTGAGCAAGCTCTTAAGTACTCTGATGGGGATTTCCAAACTTTCTACTGAGATTTTACAAGACTTCGAGATGGACCATGCAACAGTTTAACGAACCCGAGGAAGCTTAACTTTCCATCGGTGTGCCTAATCCAGTCATGAAGAACAGCATGAACAGGTACAGTTGGACCGAGGCCAAGCTCCTGATTATTTGGTTAAAATCATGCATGAGAAAATGTATTGCATTGATATAAACATTCATTTTTCAAAAACTAAATCCCAAATTAGAATAGTACATAACTGCTAATAGAAAACTAGCATACATTAACCCTTATACATTAACCCTAACATTCATTTTGATATCACAACTCGATTGTTGAAATTAATTCTTTATCAATTCAGAGATTAAAAGAAAGCTAGAAATTATGACACAATGAAGATGGAAAATTTGATATAGTAATATTATCTGCTGAAAGAATTTCAAAAGTCTGTACGCTATGTATGCATGCTTAAACTAATAAGCTAGACATCATAATCAAATCAAGCATACCGAAGCTAGTTCCTCAATCATTATAGCTCTGTTTCCATTCTTTTCAAAAATTTCATAGGCGCAGCGGGCATGTTGGTCCCAGCGGTCAAGGGCTTCAAGTTGATGAACACTAAGTGCAGCTGCACAGAACTCATCAAAATCCATCCTTCTATATTGCAAGGCATTAAACTGTCACAAAATAATTTGTATCAATATTCAATACATGCAAAAAAAAGATCATTTGGATCGTATATAGAGGCGTTCTACGGTTAAATCAACGAACTTACTGTTACAGATGCCAGAAGATCAGGAATGCGTGACTCCTTCATAGCATCCGTGGCATTCTTCATCAAGGCCTAGCCAGCTCAAAATTATGAGAATCGTTATAACATCATCATCTTAACATGGTATTTAAAGAGTTAGAAAGAAACCAACCGTTTTGATATTTTCCAAGCTAATTGTGCCATTTTTGTTTGGTTCTAAAAGTGAAAACTGCTCCTTCAAATAGTTCTGCTCATCAGCCGCTAACGTCTTAGACAGAGCCTGTCCCAATTCCCATGAATATAAAATACTAGTCAGTTATTGGGAAGCATAAACGCATTATGATCCACAAAAGGACTAGCAACAAACAATGCCGGTGTATATATAGACTTCTTATTTTATTTTGGATTTTCCATAGGTTCTTTCCACTTGAGGTAGTCTTATTTGAGGCGTGTCGGACAATAATGAGGTAACTCTCTCGTCCGGGATTTGAACTTTGGTTTCGCCTCATTGAAGAAGTCTAGCCTCTTCCGCTAGACCCAATCCCCGTTGGTTATATATAGAATATTTTTACCATCTTTAACTTTGAACTGACATATAGCATTTAACATATTTGAGCCTATCTAGTTGAAACACCGCACTAAACAAAAATGGACAGGTTTGTTACTCAATTTATTCATGCCACAACAAACTCAGCCTGGTTAAAAATTTCTATGAAGTAAACTCTTAAACAAGTAGTACACTTATTGATGCTAGAGAGTATTAAACCAATCAGAAAGCACATTTATAGTAGTAAATATCAGAAGATACCAATATAGATTGTTCATCAAGACTCTTTTCCATTCCATATCAAGATTTGCAAAGTGATCTATTAATAAATATACACACCCTTAAAGCTGCTTTTCGTAGAGACGAGGAACGCATGTATGACTTCATGAGCTTGAACACTAGAATATCCAGGGGTACTTTTACTTCCTTATAACTTTTAATCCATGGGTGACCTGCAGTATACATACCGGTAAGAAACATAACAAAATATAAGAAACACCAAGACCACCAACGATAGATGAGAAAAACACCTAATGCCTGTGCTGCAGTCATTCTTTTCCTTGGATCTTTATTTAGTAATCGCTTAACAAAATCTTTTGCATTGTCTGACAAAGAAGGCCAAGGAGGTTCATCAAAAGTTGGATCAGCTTTCAATACAGAACGGAATATCCCAGATTCAGTCCGTGCCCAAAATGGACGACTTCCACATAATAAAATATAAGCAATCACGCCAATACTCCAGACGTCAGCTTCTGTACTGTAAGCTCTATGCAGAACCTCGGGAGCAACATAGTATGCACTACCAACAATATCATTAAGTCGTTCATCTGTGAAGCACAATAAAGTCAACTTAATCCAAACCCAAAATATATCATATAACATGATGCATACAAAAATGGACTCAAAACAAACCCGGTTTGACAAAATCCGACAAACCAAAGTCTATGGCCTTCAGCTCTGAGTTCTCATCTTTGGTTGAAAACAAGAAGTTCTGATCCAGAAATTATCCATTTTCTAAAGTTAATATTCGATAAAAATTATATTTACACATCAAGAGCCAAGAAGGAAACAAAATATAAGCATATTTAAATAGGTTAGCAAACACCGTCCTAAAGGATGATGAAATTGTGATACCTCAGGTTTAAGATCACGATGAACAACACCCTGTAGATGGCAAAATGCAACAATATTTAGTATTTGTGTCATGACACCTTTTGCATCTTCCTCTGAGTATTTCCCTCCTCTGAAAGATGAACAAGGTATATCATTGTCACAAGCCATAATATGTTTCCTCTTTTGATATATATATATATATATATATATATATATATATATATATATATATATATATATCCTCAAAAAACTCATCAAAATATACAAATTCAACATCCAAATACTAAATATTCAGAAGTATTAACATTTACAAAATGAAATAACCAAATACCTTGATAGTATTCTATCCAAAAGCTCACCCCCTTCACACAATCTTAAATGCATAACAATTTAAAGAAATTTAGTAACAAAATTCACCAAAATAGAAGAAACCAACAAAGAATATTAAGAATTATATACCAAACAATTACCAAAGATGAAAAACAAAAAACATATAACCAATGCAATAAGAGCTTACTCCATAACTATATAAACATTATCATGATCTTCATAAGCATCATAAAATTTAATCAAATTCTTATGTCCATTCAAAGCTCTCAAAATCTTCACCTCCCTTCTCACATCCTCAATAGCAATTGCAGTAGTCATCTACAATTCCAAACACAAACAAAATCAAAATCAAAGACAAAATACACAATTTCATTTCCACATAAATTAAACAAATAATTAATTTAACAAACTAACCTTAACTTTTTGAATAACCTTAACAGCAACACGATGACCCTTAACATCACTCTTACTATTAACCTTCACAAGAGCAGCACAAGTATAACCAAAGTGCCCTCTACCAACCTCTTCACCAAGCTCATACTTCCTCCCAAAATTCTTCAAAAATCCAAAATTCTTATCAAGAGCAACACCCTCACCTTCACCTTCACTCCCTTTCGATACGCTTGCACCATTCGGCTTAACCGAGCCATGACGCCGAGCTAGCAGCGACCTAATGTGCTTCGCCGGAGAAGCTGGTCTGAAGAATCTCCTCGCCGGAGTCGCCGGAGTTTTCGGAAACTTGCCGGAAAATAAATGGTGAGCTGGACTGGGAGAGTAGAAAGGGAAAAACGGTGATTTTTTAGGGTTTTCAATTTCTAAATTTGAATGAGAATTAGAATTGGTGTTAGTAATAGTGGTTTGTTGTAACTGAATTTGAATGTTGGTTTCAGAATTGGGAGAAGAGAGTGGTTTTGAAGTGCAGAGACCCATTTGGAAAGAGAATGAGGTAAAGTCAAAGTGGTGTTGTTATGTAAGATTTGGATTTGAAAAAAATGGGAAATTAGTGGTAGTTAAGGTTAGGTTGGTTGATCATGGATATTCTTCTAAAACTGTTTTATTTTTAATTTAATTGGGTAATGAATATGATTTAAAGAAAGAGAGAGATATAGGGATAACGTAGGTTTGAATTTAGTAGAGAGATAAATGAAAACGACGACAGTTTCGTTTTTTATTTTTTTGTGTTATTGTACGGATTGGAGACTAACGTCCGGTGGTTTTTTAAGCTTTTTTTTCCAACCTATCACTTTTTTTTTTTGGAGTAAATTATTATATTACATCTCCTTTCATTAAGCTGGCAGAACTTTTATAATTTATACAGATTCCGTCAATTGGGCGGTTAGAACTGTTTATGTTTCGTTTTTTTAGTATAGCTCTGCGACTGTAATGGATGGAAATTTTCATTATTTTATTATTTAAGTACAGCTCTATCACTGTAATAGGCGGTGACTTTCATTATTTTATTATTTAAGTACAATTCCCACTGCAATGGACAAAGATTTTTATTATTTTATTATTTTGAAATTTTTTCTGTGAACTATAAATATCATTGATGTTGAATGATCCTAACTACACTGAACACATAACTCTTTAGTTCTCTCTTAAAAATATTTTCAACAGGCGGAGAGTTTCCAATGTTTTCATATATGAAAATAGATGTTGAACTGATTTTTTCTTCTATAAAGCCTTCGATGAAGATCAAGTTGTTGAACACGCGGACATTTGAGCATCTGTATAGGCACTTGGAGGGATGGTTGTGGGAAGAAATTATACAAGGTGAAAAGATCCGGAAAATTGAGAGGCTAGTTACGGGGCTCGACTTAAATGGACTAACTCGTTCTTGGAGACTTGTTCACAACGATGCATGTGTCCTTATGATGACACTTCAACAAAAAGATATTATGTTGATGGTTGTAATATCCTAGAAATATTTATGTGTTTGTTTGAACTTGTTGATGTTGTTTAGGTTGAATGTTGTTATTAAGTTCTTCTATTTGTCTAAGTATTTTAATTTATGTGTTGTCTTTTGGAGTTGTTATTTATATTAAATGAAAAAGTATTTGTGGCATAAAACATAATTTCTTGGCGTCATTATACATACAACTTTGAAGATTGATAACAAAATGAATAACTAATTATTACTAGTTCCTACATTGGAGCATCGCGTTCGGTTGTGACCCGAAAGACGATACAATGCGCATTACATGTGCGGTGTGTCAGAAAAAAGCAAGGGCTCCACCCATTAGGGGTGCGGAACCTGCGTGCCTTTGCATGCAATGCAGTTCACGTACAAAAGCCATGCATGCCAATTTTAATTTTCCCAACCATCTTCTTATTTCCATTAAATATTTTTCCTATCAATTTTTCCTATAAATACCATTCAACTTTTCATAGTTCTACACCAAAATCAATCTTCATCCACTCTTTCTCTTCATAAACACCACTCTTGATATAATGTCTTTGTTAACTTATGGAGAGGATCATCAAGGAACATTGTCAAACATGCTCCAATATGTAAGTGTATTAAATATATTTACGTATAAAGTTTTTTTCAATTGTTAGTTTTTGTTTACTTTTATTATTACTTCATAACTATCTTCTAACATTAACTATTTCCTTTTTTAGAATGAAAAAAGTTTAGGCCTCGTACACACTCATATGTGTCCGTAGATGAAATGATCCGTTCATATTTGATGCAAGCATGCTTCGGGTACGTTATCAACATAACCCCATATGGTGTTGATAGAAAATTTATTCTCGCTTTATGTGAAAGATGGCGGCCAGAAACACACATATTTCATCTTCCTACCGGTGAATCCACAATCACACTTGAAGATGTTCACATGTTGATGGGTTTACGTGGAGGCCCTATACAGGACTTGAAGATATGAATCCAAATGATAGTCATATGTAGAGTTCAAAAACACTTCTTATCTGTTTTACTACAGTTGAAATGCATCATACAGATAGGGTAAAATTCTAATTTAGCATTCTGCAAGGCATACCGGATGCTCCAAAGTGCATGGAGGAGTATCACAAAAGTATGGTGAACGACCAATGTGCATATAGCAATTGGAAATATCATTACAAACAAGAGCATCGTCAATGGCATAACCATGGAGATAAAGTCTTACAAGGAGATATCATGTTAGAAGAATGTAAATTGAGTAAGAAATACAAGGACTGGTATAAGTCTGTTACAAATTTGTATCTGTCACCAAATAGCTTCTTATTTGACCCTCGTAACCAACCAACATCTTCAAACGTCTAACACACCAGACCATCATCAAGCACTTACACCCAACAAACATTCACGAGAAACCAATAATCTTTCCTTAACACCCAACAACCTTTCATCCCAACACAAACACATATTACCCCAAGCCAACGATACCATCAACAAAACCCTTCATCTAACTCCACCCAATGGGGCACCTAACAAAAATATTCTTCATCTAACCCCATCCAATGGGGCACCCAACAATAATATTCACATTTTATCCATTCTACATCAAACAGTCTACCACAAACATCATTAACACTACAAACCTCACATGACCCCAACTTCCAAACACCCCAACAATAAATGCATATTTCTCAGCCACAATAATTTACCTCACAAGATTGTTACCAACCCTTGGTAAATAGTCCAATGCCTACTAATACCCTACAAATTGGAATTGAGAGGGAACCAGATTAAATTATGGCAGTGCAACAGAGACAGACTATATCAATGATGAAATGATAGAGGAATTTTTAATGGGCGGATGTGGCTTATGACCTTCAACTCAAACACAAAATAAAGAGGGAAATTGCAGAATAGGGCAACGTACCAGACAAGCTCCTCCTTGTGGAACTCACCAATGATTGACACGACCCAGTCAAAATCTACAATAGATGTGTTTTCTTGTAATTTTTTCAAATGTTATTTTAATTTAATGAATTAAGTATTATTGTTTTAAATTATATTTTATTTTAATTATTATTTCATTTCTCAATTAAATAAAACTTAATTATAGTATAATTATATAATTAAATAAAACTTATATATATATATATATATATATATATATATATATATATATATATATATATATATATATATATATATATATATATATATATATATATATATATATATATATATATAAAATTCAAATAAGTTTATTTGAAGAAGAAGAAAAATATATGTTACAACACTTCCGCCCACTGGATGGGCCCCTCTTCAATTTCCAACACCTCCGCTCATTGCTTTTGCGGATCCCAAATATTTTGTGTTGTTCCACCCATTCAGTTGGCGGTTGCTTTGTACTAACAATGAGATTTGTTTGAAAACATGGTAGTTTGATATTATTGAGTGAAGAGAATGGTATATTGAGAATTTTTGTCTAAAAGTATGGCAAGATAGTAAATGCTATGTTTTTTTATATTTGATGATAAAAACATGCTGAATATTGAATCCAATATCTCACCAATAAGTGATGATTATGTACACAAATTGAAATGTCCTTTAAAGTTGATAGTTGTGTAATGACATCAAGTGCAACAATATTGATGGCGTTGATTCGAATATGTGACAACACATTTATTCATCTTTAATAAGATGAGTCACTAGGCTACTTAACAAAAAAAAATATTGTTAAGAAATTGGAAATATTTTCCAAGTTCCAACATTGTTTCATCAAGTAAGAAATTGGAACTTAATTATAGTATAATTATATAATTAAATAAAACTTATATATTCTTACTCGAAAAAGATTGTTCGTTTTCCTTTAGACAACGTTATCCCGTTATTAAGGAACAGGTAGCACCGTTGTTGGAGTTTTAAGGGACATTTGAAGGGACAAATACGGTCACAAAAGCAATGTTAGGAGGTGTTAGTAATCATCCTAAAGCCTTAAAGATCTTTTTTCGAGGCAACATCTGAATGGGTCATTTGAGATCTTTCGGGGCTAGAGGACGACCACTAACAAACCTTATACTTCATGACCGTTTAACCGAAGGCAACCAAAGTGAAGTAAACCCTAAGAGTGAGAATGTGCGAGTGTAATTTTTCAGTTAATTTGTCTTTGCATATTTAGGATTTTCTACCGTTTTAATTTTCAAATATTCTTTCCATACAATCCTATTAGCATACATCTAAGCAGTTTATAGTTTGCGGAAATAAAATTCAGGAAAGTTAAAAGGTCCTAACTATTACAGGGCTTTTGCATATACATAATTATTTTGGACTGAAAATAAAGATGTGGAATTTAAACCCTAATTACTATTACAAACTCAGAGCAGTTACAATAATAATAAAAGGAAATTAAAAGCGCGCGGCAAATTAAATGCGAGAATAATTGGAAAACCCTAAGAAATCTAATTGAAAAAGATTTAGGTTATTTTTTAAAGAAAAAAAAGATTAAACTATGTACAAATTAAACCCTAATTTCTAATTGATTTTAATTATAAAAAAGAGTTAAATTAACCTAATTTTTAATTAAATTAATTAATTAAATAAATAAAATACTTTATAAAAAAATGATTTTTGATGTTTTTTGTGATTTTTGATTAAAAAGAAATAATTTTGATGTTACTTTAAAAAGAAATATAATTAGGGAATAATTAAAAAGAAATAAAAATAATAAATAAATAAAAAAAGAGGAATGGGCCTGTTTAAGCAATTGGAGGGGGGTGTATTGTTGAAATTATTCCAGGTCCACCAAACTGAAGCCCAGTCAGCGCTTGATCCAGTGCTGGCCCTTTTTGATGGTACACCATGGTCCTTCAGTAATAGGCGTTGGATCTGGTTGATCATGAATCCTGTGGCTGGCTGTTGATGGATGTATGGTGGATGCTTGGGAGGATGATGCATAGGATCCTGCAAAGAAGAATCAAAACAGAGAAAATTGTTGGGACCTGGGATCAAACCCAGGCCCTCTCACTATCTA